TGGGCTACCCCCGTTTCGTAGCCCCGTGAAGCCAAAAAAATAGTAGAATTCAATGTTGAGAAAAATATCTTAAATATAGGATGAGAATTAAATGAAGTGAAAATTAGTAGTTCAAACTACATTTTGACCTTCACAATTAAAGGGGATTAAATCCAAAGGTAAGGGCATTTTAGTCAAAAAGAAAAACTCCACAAGCTCATTTATGAAACTTTAGTCAGATTCTAGTAAGTGTGCACGTACTTTGCACATGGCAAATTTTGATGGTGATAGTAAATAGTATGTTTCTAAAATTTTTTATATTTCTCTGTCTATAAAAATTATTCTTATTTGTCACACTTATTTTTGTTTAATATGATGAATATATGATATTAGAGATGTGCCCAAATATTTTTTACAATTTTTTTTGTATATTTTAAACTTTTATATGTTTTCATTTTTTAATTATTATTATTATTGTTATTTAATTACGACATCAGGGGTTTACACATTTGACCCAAAAAGGTTGAATTATTGACTTGCCACAAAACATTAATACAACTCTATTGTGTTGGTTTTAAATTAATATTTTATTTCTATCACCAATAAAATAATTATTTTTTATCACACTTTTGTTAATATGGTTAATTAATATAGTATTCAATGAAAGAATGAGAGTAAACACCCAAAATATGAGACTTAATGGAGGGAATTGAATGAAGAAAAATGTAGTAGTTCAAGTTATATTGTGCCCTTAGAGAGGAAGTAAATTAAAAAATAAGAGCATTCTAATCAATAATAGGATTCAGTGAATGTTAATGGGAGTTAGTACTTTTGACCTCAATTAGAGAGATACCAAATTTAGAATTTGGGGTATTGTAATCAAGAATAGGATTCAATGAATCCTAATATGAGTTAATACCTTAAATATAAGATTTAATGAGAGGGATTTGAATGAAGAGAAAATTAGTTGTTCAAATCACATTTTTGTTCTTAAATTACTAGTAAATGTGGACGTGCATTGCACATTGAAATTTTAAATTACAATGACAATTATTATCAACACCATTATTACTATAATAATAATAATAATAATAATAATAATAATAATAATAATAATAATAATAATAATAATAATAATAATAATAA